TTCATTGCATGCAACCCTGTACATGAACACATATGTAAATACGCAATGCATACAGCAATGTACAGAATAGAGTACACATGCAAAAGAGAGGTACTTTGACTCCACTTTAGAGAAACATGCTTATTAAATGATACACGTAGTGAAATCTGCGCCAGTTGGAACTAAAGCCAGAGAAATGCAGCTAGTAGGGAGTTTTATTCTTCACTATTTCTGCATGAAATGCATCTGTATCCTCATCATTTTTGCAGTACTACCCTTGTTCATCCAGGCCAATCTGTTAAGAGAATACATTCTTTGACCAAGGCAGCACCTCAAAGTTTGCTTTTAGGTGTGCCAAATAAATTCACAGAGACCCTCTTGGTGAGGCTGCCTTTGCCCAGCAGTTCGCCAATGACTTCGTGCAAGAAGAAGCCCATGCAGCGTAATAGAAAACGCGATTCCAGCAGCACGCAAGATGAGCTGCAAATGCTGGGCAATTGATTAGCAAGGCGGTGCTGCTGCAGAGAGGCCTCTCGGTGATCCTTTTCATAAGGTGTCTAAAATTGAATGAGGGGAAGAGTTAACAAAACGCAGGATAGAGCCCTGGCTCATTTTACAACTAATTCAGTTTCTCCCATTGTTAAGTACACCAACAAAAACTCCCTCAGAAACAAAGATAAATACACAAAGCTGGCTGAAGAGAATTTTCAGAAATATCTTTTTCCCTTAATAATTAACATTTTAAACCAAGCTATAAGGGAAAAAAAATCAAGGTAATTTTATTTCTTACTACCTGGGGCTACAGAGTAATTATGGAAATGGCAAGGAATTTGTCACTTTGAGTAAGCATAAGTGTATCAAATAATTTTATTAAATAAAATACGGTTACCTTAGTCATCATAGTAATCTGACAAGGACTTCAAAAATGACTCTCTCTGTTGAAAATGTCAACAGACAGTTTCCTCATCTGTCTGCTTCTGGGTTGAATATGCAAAAACTCATCTTCAAAATGATGTTTCTTCAGAAAAAAAAAGGAATAACAAATCTAGCAGTTTCACCTCACCCATTAATTGCAAGCCCACTGACTGTTCTCAAGCTGAAAAAGTGTGACTACAAAGCAGTGAGACAGAGCCTCATTAACCACGTTCAGTCATCGATGTCATTATTTTGTCACCACAACCTCAAACTTATGTTTCTATAACTCTAAATAGGGAAATACCTACCCCTTCTTCATAGGAACACCCTTGGTGCCCCACCCAGGAAACTAGACTGGCCTTTTTTCAGTTTTCAACCTGAGGAAATTCTAATGTATTTGTATGTATGCCTCAATCTAATCATCTAGAGGTGTCAGAGGTTTTAATTTCCTGTACACACCCTTATCTACTCCAGTCCTCAGTAATTTGATACCACACAGAAACCTCTATAAGCAGGGTTACCCTCAGCAAGTGGCTTAAAACATTTAGGTGCAAAGCACCAATAAGCACATACCAAATAACTTTCTCTCCATGCAGTTCTCATATGCCTGCATCTTCTCCAACCAGTCCAAGACTTAAGCACATGTTACATCCTTGCAAACAGGACTGGAGTCACTCGAAGCCAAAACCCAAGTAGAAGAAAATTAAATTGCATTCTCTGTTCCATACAAAATGACTATCAAACTGAGCAGGCCTCTCCTCTTATGCTGCAAAAATTATTTCATAGCCAGTTAGGAGGTTTAGGTGACTATGATGGAACATCCCTGTGACTATTGGCTTATCTGAAGCATGGTTTCCAGTGAAGATGTTTGTAACTGTAATAGATTGCAGAATCCACAGTTGGCCCAGGTTGTACCTGGGTTACTTTATCTAGATCACTGAGTCTAGCTTTCAGGATCAGTGTCTTTCTGTACTCCCTGACACCAAGGCAAAAGTCGCAGGTCCCCAGCCTAGCCAACAATTGATGGCCTTCTTACATACAATACAGTTTTCTCTTGAGTTTCCTCCCTGGGCAGGTTCTTGGTGGAAAACTAACACATGCATACATACACACACACACACACACACACACACACACACAATTTTCTCTCTCTCACACACACACACAAACACACACACACACGAGTCCTCCCTCTCAAAGTTGCTTCTTAAATCACAGGCAACCTTCTGCTTCAGTTCTGCAGTTGGGAAGCCTACACTAGTGTCATTCAGGACACTGGGAAATTTGTCTTTTCAGAAAAAATAAGCAAATGAAACTGCAAAATTTTAAGGCACCTTGGGAGATGAAATAAGAAGGTGGACTCTGGGAATCTAATAGGAAATAACGTCGTTGGCATAGAATTTGTTATCACTCTCCTCTCTGTGAAAGGGAGCATTGCTGGCACTGTCCCAAGGCAAGCCCTTCCTCAGGTATCTGGAAATGCCTCATTAGAGGGGCAGGCTGATTGCCAATGTAAAGATCACACATAATGCACACTTAGCACGTGGACCCTGCCCTGTGGTCCCCTACAGGGTCTCAGGTTTCCTAAGAAAGCCATGATGAATTAAAAGGAAGAAATCTGCCTTTCCTGCAAACAGCCTGCAATATTTCATTCTCCAATTATCCACAGAGAAGTCTCGCATGGCTGAAGGAGCAAACTTTTTTCCCCATCTCCCAAATAACAGATGAAGAGAAAACTCTGAAGTGGCCCAGAAGAGCAAGGCCCACAGCAAGCTGAGTCAGTCAACCCTGACAAGCCAACTATTTATTTTCATGAGGCTCCGATGGCAAGGCAAAGATGAGGGCAGCCGGGCAAAGCAGAGCCCTTAGAGCCTTATGCCTCCACTCCTAGTAATCAAAATGAATTCAATTTCCTAGGCCTGTCCTCTCCTGGGCCTCCAGCTGCTTTCTGCAAGTCACCTGTTGACTCCTGTTACCCTACCCCACCCAACCAGGCTTTCCATCAGCTACGGCTAGAAGTGCCAGGATGCCACCACCAGGTGGACCAAATTCCTCCTCTGCATGTCATTCCCCTGTTCTGGGATTAAAGTCAACCTCCTATCTCCTGGGGCCAGCCCTGCCTCCAAAAGTCCACCACTCCAGGAGTACTCGGCTTCTTAACTTTCTAAAGGAGCTAGGTCATTCATCTAGTTGCAGCCCAGCTTCATTTCTTTGTCAAATCCTTAGATCACTGCAACCGAAAAATGGTAAGCCCGTGCTTTTATCATTCCTGGGGTGAAAAGTTCTGTTGGTGTTTGCCACACATGAATAATGCACTCTACTGATCAAAACTGGTTTGAGGCAAACAAACTGTTAAACTGGAGGCAGCTGTTGATATACTAATTACCTCCTTTTAAACATAGACCCGGTTAGGTATTATGTACTTTGCATATGTCACAATACAGACCCACATATATTTTATTAATGTGTATTTGCATCTCTGTAATACATGTACTTAAATATTTTAACAGTCAAATTCCCCCTAAGGAAAGGGTGATAAACTGACTCCCAAAACACAATTATCCCCTATCCCTCAAATTTCAAGGGCCAATATGTACTGTCTGCAACTGCATATTATAACTATAGGCACAATAAGTGTTATTTTATAGAACAGAAAACAAGGTGTGCTTTTGACTACAGGGTTCACTTGCAGTCTACAAGTTACAAATGCACAAGACAGAGACCGGGACGTAAACGCTTTTCGTCTCAGAAGGAGCAACAGAAATGTATTTGATTTTCAAAAGCCCTGAAATTGTCACCCCAGGAACAGAGCTGAGTTTGAAGACCTTCTCTCTCACAACCACCTAACTTACTCAACACCGGAGACCAAGCACCGCTTGTATTTCCCTTTAACAGTGAGCCCTGAGCCTTAAGAGATAGTTTATGAATGGTATAGAACCCCCAGCGTCTGGCCCTCATTAACTTTACCCCAAGGCCAGGAATGAGGGATTAATCATAGCATCAGGATACGCGTGGTTCTCTCTCTAGATGTGGTTATTCAATGGCCAAAATCTTGTCCAATTCTATCTCCATCAAACTTGCTCAGGAATACTCAAAGTCTATGACATTTGATTCCAGTTGCGGGTCAATAGCCAAGTAATGATTTAACACTATAAACTCTAAAAAATTTTTTCCCGTTTAGACAGGACTGTACTCAGGTGTGGAAGCACGCTCTCTGGAACTCAAGTTGGGACCACCTGAGCAGGGGAGGCAAAAGCGACAAAGTAGGTACCTGACAGTGCTGAGTCATTACAAGCTGTTTCCTCTGAAATGTTATGCACCCATGGGCCCTCTGAGCATTAACATCCCCTTTCTGGAGGCAAATAAAATACGTATTCATTGTGCAAAATGGTGCAACCTTCTGTGGGCGACAGACCACGATGGGGAATTTAGCACTAAGAGTGGATAGCAGGAACTACACAAACTCGCAGCTGCTCTCTAGGTACCGTAACTTTATCGCAGACGCTGAAAGAGGGCTATAGGGATGCCGGGTGGGAATAATCCCCCCGCAGCCCCGACTCAGGTCAGGGCCACACTAGGGAGCATTTTACTCTAAGCTGTTATATTCCCCTGTAATTGGCGGATGTAGAAAGCGCCCGGAGAAAATGATGCATAATAGATTTGTTCTCGAGGAGGATGCAATGGAGAGTAGAGGACGCAGGATGCTAACTGGTTTTTCTTCCCATGTGCGGGTCACCTGCAAACCCCGATTGCTTTCCTCTCCAAGGAGAGCCCTGAAGTCACCGTCTCGCTCGGCTCTTAAGCGGGTGAGAGGAATAGTTTTACGCCCACCTGCCCGCCGCCTCTCGTCCCCCAGCACCCCCAGCCCCAGCAGGGCGCGCGCGAGCTGCTACCGGCATCAACGGTCCCGCCCGCTACCCGCTCACTGGCAGCCCCGGCCGGCAGCTCCCCCGGCGGCCGCCTCTGCACCACTCGCCAACCTCCACGCCGGGCCGAGGTCATGCCCGCCTGCCCCCAGCGCCGGGCGGCCCCCTCCTCGTGCCAGGTGGCCGTTCGGGAGCCGGGCTGGGGAAGGGGCCCACGGCGGAGTTGGCTCAGGGACTCACCAGGTAGGCGCCCACCGTGCCCTGCGCCAGCATCAGGGCGCACTCGGACACCAGGAATATCTTGATGTTGGAAAAGCAGGACACCTTCTTTTTCTTTTTCTTGTTCCTCTGCGCCTCGTCCCCCTGCAGCTCGCCGCTCCGGCCGCCGCCCGACGAGCCGCCCGGCTTCTTCCCCTGCATCCTTCCCCCGCCGCCGCCGCCGCTGCCGCTTTCCCGCTCGCCCCGGGTGTCGGGGCCGCTGCCGGGTGGGGGTGCGCGCCTCGAGGCTGCGTGCTGTCCCCGCCCCGGGCTCGCGGCTGCCGCCCCCGTCCTGCCGGGGCTGGTGAGGTGGAAGGCAAAGCTCCTCGCCGCCGCCGCCGCCGCGCTCGCCCCTTCCTCCTCCTCCTCCCCCGCCTCCGCCCTCCCCTCGCCTCCTCCTCCGGCTCTGGCTGTGCCAATCACAGGGGCTCCTCGCGCCGCCCGCCGCCGCCGCCGCCGCCGCCGCCGCCTCGCCTCCCGCGACCGCCCGCAGCTGCCATCGTCCGCTTCCCCTCGCCCGCCGGCCGCGCCTGTTCTCACCCCCTCAACCCTAGCCCCAGCCCCAGCCCCAGCCCGGAGGCCTGGGCCTGGACCGCCGTTGCGCGCCCTCGCCGCGCCGCTCCCCGCTGCCGGTGCGCCCCCGGGGAGGGACGGGAGGCGGGTTTGGGACGCGGAGGGCGGCCCGGCGGCCGAGGCGGGGAGGGTCCGGCTGCCGGGAGAACTGGGGAGACCCGGAGTCCTTGCGGAGTACGGGGGGTGCCCCTGAGGGAGGGAGGCGGCGCCCGGCCCCTAGGTGGCGCTGCGGGTCACGGGGCCCCGCGGCGGAGACTGGCGGCTCTGCGCCGGGCGCGGAGATGGGGTGCGGAGGCGCCCCAGCGGGGCTCGGACCCGGCGCTCGGGAACCCGGGTGCCCAAGCCTCAGAGGGCAGGCTGTTCCCAGGAAGGGAGAATCCTGACTACCCAGGAAGGGTTTGGCGCGCGCTCTTCTCCGCCTGGGGATTTCTGGGGACAGATGTTATGCTCTGGGCCTTGGGGAGGTGCCAGAGGTCAGAGCTGCTTGAGGCTTCTGCCGCCTGCCGGTTTCTGCCCCAGCTCTCCCCGACCACAGAGGGTGTTGAAAAGGCCCCAGACCGAAAAGGGAGAAAGGGGAAGTTAGAGGAATACGTCGGGAGCCCCACGGACTGTTGGTGCCCCAGCCTCAGTGTCCAGGCGCTGCAAGATCGCCGCGGCCCCAGCAGAGGGCCTTGTCCGGCCCTCCATCCGCCCAGGGCCCGGTGGCTGGAGCGCGCAGAAAGCGGCCAGCCACAGGCCTGCTGGGTCCCCACCCTCCCCTAGCTCTGTGACCCTGGCCACCATCCTCGGCCTTGACCTGAATGCCTGACCCATGGCAGCCGCTCCTAATTACTCCCCACTCTCACCGTTACCAAGGAGTGTGGGCCACAGGGCGCTACCAATAGGATCTGCTAGTTGTCAATTGCAGCGTTTGGAAGCTGAGAGAAAAGCTCAGAGGACTGGACAGGTACCAGGAAACAGCACCTTCCACCTGGGCCACTGGGGGACTCAAGGAATCATTTAAAATGTTTTCCTTAATAATTGTGTCAAAGAAAATGACCCACTCTCCCAGGCTCCTGTGTCTAAATGCAGGCTCAACTTCAAAACTGAATAGCAATGAACCCTACCATATTTTTCCTTTCTCCCGAAGAACTTGAATGAGAATAGAGGGTGTAATGGTGGAGGTGTTGTTTTGCCATGGCATTTAAATATAAACTGCTTCATCCTTCTGTGGCTCCAGACATGATCTCACCCAGGTTTGGTGTCGCTTTGAGATGCCCCCACCTTGTCTAGGCCACGTCCTATCTGAATTGGCGCCCCCCACAGAAGTCTCTTCCCATTTTCCCCACTTCCTGAATCACTGGCCACACCATTCCCGGCCAGTCCTATAATGAGAATCCTTACTGCCCTCTCCTTTCTTCCCCACACCCTCCCATTACTCGGAGCCAACTTTTCTACAGAATCTTTATGTCCCCTCTTTCCCTCCCCATCACTTTGCATCATGGGGTACCTCCCCACTTCCTCCTGAGAAGACCCTTGACAAGCTAGCTCTGTTCCCTGCCTCTGTGATGATGAGCTTCAAAGCTGAGCTGAGACTTTACTTGTCTATAAATGGTGACCCCATTGCTAATGAAATGTGCAGAGTGCATTATAGTCTTCAACTCTTATTTACGTTCTTTGTACTAAAAAGAGCTAATGTTTACTGTGTGCTTATTATGGCCAGACACCATTCTCAGTGCTTCAACCGCATTTACAATGTAAACCTCACAACAATCGTCTAAACCGGATACTGCTATTAGCCTTGTTTTACAGATGAGACAACTGAGGCCTAGAAAGGTTAACCTGATCAATGTCACTTATCTAGTAAATGGCAAGGCAAGTCTTTGAAAACCAGGGTGTCTGCCATCATAGCCCAGGTTCTTTATAACTACATACATATTATCTCATTTATCACCCAGTGTGGTTTGTCTCGTGGGGAGGCTTGGACTTATGTTGTTCCTCTTTTATAAAGCTAGAAAGGGACAGAACTTGCATCCATGTCCAGCCCTTTTTTTTTTTCTTTCTTTCTTTTTTTTTTTTTTTTTGAGATGGATTTCGCTCTTGTTGCCCAGGCTGGAGTGCAATGGTGAACTCTCGGCCCATGGCAACTTCCGCCTCTCAGCGATTCTTCTGCCTCAGCCTCCAGAGTAGCTGGTATTACATGCATGTGCCACCACGCTCAGCTATTTTGTATTTTTAATAGAGACAGGGTTTCTTAATGTTGGTCAGGCTGGTCTTGAACTCTGACATCAGGTGATCCACCCACCTCAGCCTCCCAAAGTGCTGGGATTACAGACATGAGCCACCACGCCCGGCCAGCCCTTTTTGTTCTATACCACAATGCCTCATGTACACACTGAGAAAGGCACCAATTTTTTCAGCTTAACCATTTATTTTAGATTAAAAAATTAGCTGTCTTTAGAGAAATCACACACTTTTGCTGCCAGATAAAGGATTTCGGATTAGGGTTGTAGATTCTTCCTATAATTAATGGTAAGCAGCCATGAAAGTAATCCTGTGCCTGAAGCCTTAAGAATCGTCAAAGTCAGCCTCAGGGAAATTAGGCTGCAGCCTCACAACAGTCAGAAAGAAGGAATTTAACAAGTTCAACTCCCTTCCTTCTTTGCTCATCCTTTATTTACTTGTAGATCAGGGCTCTAGAGATGATAAGGTGGGTTTATGAGCACCAGGTGCTTCTGCTTGGCATTCCCCTAGCCCGGTGTGCAGACAGAGGAAGCAGCATAAAAATAGTAAACACGCTTGTATCAGTACAGCACATTAATGCTTATGAAGTACTTTCTACATTCTATATCTCAGCTCACAACAGGGAGAGCTGGTCTTATTAGCCCCACTTTTTTCTCAAAAGAAAGGACAGCAGGTTGGTTTTGGGAGCTCACCACCAGCAGGTGGCAGGAATTGAGTCTACATTTGCCACCCCAAATTGGTGGGAGTGAGAGGTGAAGCCAGCTGGACTTCCGGGGTCGGATGGGGACTTGGAGAACTTTTTTGTCTTACAAGAGGATTGTAAAACACACCAATCAGTACTCTGTAGCTAGCTAGAGGTTTGTAAAATGCACCAATCATTGCTCTGTAAAAATGCATCAATCGGCACTCTGTAGCTAGCTAGAGGTCTGTAAAATGGACCAATCAGCAGGACATGAACGGGGACAAATAAGGGAACAAAAGCTGTCCCCCTCCCCCCCTGCCCCCCAGCACGCTGTGGAAGCTTTGTTCTTTTGCTCTTCACAATAAATCTTGCTGCTGCTCACTCTTTGGGTCCCTGCCACCTTTAAGAGCTGTAACACTCCCCATGAAGGTCCGCAGCTTCATTCTTGAAGTCAGCGAGACCACGAACCCACTGGAAGGAACCAACTCTGGACACAGGAGCACCAAGGAGGAAGGGAGAGAGGTAGAGGGGGTTTAGCCCTTCCATGAACTGCAGTGCCCCCTCCAAGGAGCCTCTGAAATAGTTGACACTCGTGAGCAGCAAAGCCAACAACTTAAACCCCATTAAAGGCCTCAACTGGGCTTCCTTAAATGTTGCCTTGGAGAAATGATGTAACCACCACTTACTTGCACGGGGCCTTTTTCGTTCATCTCTCCCTCTAGCGGTGGGTGGTGAATTTAGGAACAGGTCGCTATTATGAATGACTCTAGAACCTTTATGATTGCTTCAGCTTCTCAACTACTTTCTGAACTAGGTGACTTTTCAAGATGAAAATATTGCTAGCTAAGGCTGTGGTTCCATGATTCCTTACTTTGCTGGCTACTAGAGGTATTCTAAACATTGAGAAGCCAAGTAATGTTAAAATCTGATGTAGGGAAGCAAAAAAGAAAGTGGGGCGACTTGGGAAGATAAACTGGCTTTTGGTTCGCAAGATATTAATAAGCTACAGGTAAATGCTTAATGATTAGGATTTGAAGAACTTTTCTCCTTCATTTTAGAGAGGACCCTCTGTTCATTTTGGTAGGAGAGAAGTGGGTTAACTATATGGTCGTGGAAAAAAACAACAATATCTTCCTCTGTTACTGGGCTGTGGAAGATTTCCCAGCAAGCAGCTTCAATGTAATTCAACACAATGAGAAATTGTTGTTCAAGTAATTCACATGAAGCATCTTTTGCCAGCTACAATTTCGTTGACAGGCAAATACAAAGTTGAAAAATAAATGCAAAGAATGATTTCTGATTGTCACTGGGATGGAAAATAGATGCTTAGATTCTCACCCTGTGGATTTTTTTTTTTTCTGAAAATGCACCAATCATATATTTTGTCCAACCAAGGATAGAATTGGGGCTAGGCCAACTTCTTTGGCTTGAAACTAATATTTGGGCTGAGTTGAAGCTTATTTTCTTTTTCTCAGAGTTTTTCTCTCCCCACCCCCATTTTCCAATTAGCCTGATCCATATGCCTTTCTACCAAATAGCCTCTGTTTGCTACTTACTATGTTCATAGTTTCATGTTGTAAATTATATCTCTTAATTTGAACGTGCCCTAAAGCTCAGCAAAGAAGTGAAAAGGATAAACATCAATGTAGATACAATTCTAAAAAATGGTGAATTCAAGTGGAGAAACAGAAGAAAGAAAGAAGAAAATTAATGGAAATAGAAAGAATCGATATGACAAAACCAGGGTTTTAGGAATGTGTTATATTTACAGAAAATGAGTTTTGAGGTAAAGGAGAAAGAAGAGAGATAATAAATACTTCCCAATATTAGTGCATTTGGGGAGATCATCATTTGCTACTTCTGTTGATATTCATATAAAT